GGCGTTCTTTTTATTGTTCTTATGAATCTATTATAAAGAATCTTGAATAATATATTATATTTAAAAAATTATACTTAAAAATATTTAGTGAGCAATACTTTCATCATAAGGGATGATTGGACAATTAGGATATGTATCTTTAAGCTGATAACCTAAATCATGCAGCCTGAGGATAGAACATTTTCCAACTATCTTATATAAAGATATAATAATATAAATATAAAATTGTAATTTGACTTTGACAATTCAATTTTTCTAATAAAATTAACGTTTCAAGAAAGATAATGAATTGATATAAAATTATTTGATATAAAAATTCGTCTATAATGAAGAGAAAATTTTATATCAAGATTAAGATTTAAACTGAATGATATCAAGATCTCTTTTAGCATTTGACTTGAATGAGAAGTTCAGAAATATTGAGTATGATTGTAATAAACATTAAGACAGCCTGAGGATAGAACGTCGGACTCGCTTCCAGTTAAAAAACAAAATAACCGGTGGGGGAAATTACCGAGATTACCTAATCTTTCATTTTGTGAAACCATCCTTAACTACTAAAAAATTAACCCTGCTAAAATCCGCGTCTTATATAAAGATATAAAGATTTAAATATTAAAATCTTCTTCAGCATTTGACTGAAAAATATTGAGTATAAGAAAATTCTTGTTAAAAGAATTTAATGATTTGTAGTGGAAGTTTTTGAATATATTTGGTGAAATCATATAATTTGCCAAACCATTGACAAATCCCCATCTGGTCCTTTTGATTTGATTTGACATAACACAGTGACTGCTGATGGCATTTTTATTTCTTTTACTTTCATGATTTTTATAATGAATAGAATGCTTTCCTTCAACTCTAAATTTCTAAATTATTTTCAGATAATCTCTCTTCTTTGATATTAATGTGTTTTCTACCAAGACTATAAAACTCTAGTGTATTAAAACTTTGGAAGATGTTCAACGGGAAGAGCTTATAAAATAGATCGTATTATTCTATTTAAAAAAAAAAAGACGATGTAAAATCTATTTTATACTAGGAAATAATGATAAACGGAAACAAAGAAGTAATGATTAATTATATATCTGTTAACACAGTGTGCAATACATCGTACATTAATTAAAAGAATACTTCTGGTAAGATAATTTCCTATACAATGTATACTATAATTATAAACTAATTCATTGAAAAAGCAATATCGTTTAATTGCTTTGGATTTTCAGATCATCACGTGTTGTGATAAACAGGTTTTATGAAAGTGAATGTCATTGTTTATGAAGTCATCTGATTTTTTTACTTTTTTTATTTATTTTTATTTTTATTTCAGTTGAAAGTATTGACTTATCACTTGAAGATTCACTCTTTAAAGTTTGGAATCAAAGACATCTTGAAAAACTATGAAAACTTTGACGATAAACGTGTAAATACCCAGGATATGATGGTAAATCTTGAATTTCCCATTTATTATTCTTATTATAATGCTATTATAAAGCAAATTACATTCTCAATTTTTAATCTATTTGATATTTTTAGTTCTTATCTCCTATTTAAATGAACATGAAGAGGAAAAAGATCGAACAAATAAAACATTTAAAATATTTATCAAATCAATAAATTAATATTTGTACGGAAAGAAAAAAAAATGGAAAGAAAAAAAAAGAAAGGGAAATAAATCGTTGGTCTCAATAAAATATACTAAAGATATTTATACTTAAAATATTTGGGCTGTGCTTTAATCACATGTTAAGATATCTTTATTTTTTGAAAGTTATTCACATTTAGCCACCACCACAACCACCACAGCCATAAAATTTGAATTCGGCTGGGTAGTAAATTCAATCATCAAGACCAATCATCAAGTTCGTTATAATTAAAGATTTTTGATAAGTATACAAGTATATCATTTTTATTTTCCAAGCCAAAAAATTTTTAATAAATACCAATTTTATACTATAAAGAAATAGAAGATAACCAATTATTTAATTTGGTATTATTTATTTATGACAAAGTAAACGAACGAACCTTTTTGTTTATCAACTAATAAATCATCTAAGCAAAATATTCAAAACTATCAAAAGAAAACGGGTAATAATAACAAGAGGTTTATTAAACTGTTATTACCGTATATCAATTCTCTAAAATCCGCTTCTTGTTTGTAACACATTTCTTTATTTGGTACGATTTGAAGTCACGGGTTTTCTGGCCTCACGTGATTTTCACCTCCGATTTATTGATCTATATCAAATAAACTTCCAATTTACTAAATAAAGCTCAGGATTTACAATGGTTCTCATTTCCTAGTTTGTAATGTACAACCATATATATTAAAAGCGCTTCTTTTCGGAGAATTCTTCGTTAACGCTTCTAAATAATCAACAAATGTCGATATGAAGATCAAAAATTTTGGTTACGTAATGATTTGTACTTATTAGTAAATCTGATTACGTAATTCTTAAATGTTATGCTGAACTAATCTTTATATTTTTTTTAACTGATCATCACTAATCTATTACATACTTCAAACTTTATTATAATAAAGTACGGACCGATCTTTTATAAATTTTATAAATACTTGCTTATACAATCTTTTTTTTTTTATTTATTTTTTTTTTTTTCACAAAGAAAAAATAAATACTGTAATGTTTTATTAGATTTACAGGAATCAAGGTAGATCCGACGAAAATCTGTGAAATTTTTGGTAACAAAATTACGGATAATACTTTTTCCGGTTTCAAATTTCTGTACATCAAAATTCTTTATTAATTTTAGGCTAGATTTTAACAAATAAATATTTATAATTCTGGCAATAATGCCGATCTCAAGTAATGTCGGCCAGAGGCAGAAATGAACGAATAACGAATCCGATTTTTAAAAACTTTTCTTTTACAAGTCATACTTCTGATACTTCTGATCAAAGATTTCAATATAATAAAAATTTTTTGTGATCATTATTTAGAAAAAAAAATAATTATTATTTTATTAAAACATTTGATTAAAGTTTCAAGAATATTTATTATCTTGTAAAAGAAAAAGGAGGTAACGTTACATTATTGTATGGCTGAAATGTTTTTTTTTTTTTACGCGTGAAATTTTAAATGTGTTTCATTTCTTTTTTTTTCTATAAGATAAATATTTATTTGTAATATATTTTAAAGACGCAGTATTCTTTTTTGTAATGTTATCGTTAGATTTCCTAATTACAATTAGTCATATCGAAACTTTTTTAGCAAAATATTGACGGAGATTTATTTGATTAACTGAAAAAAAAAAAATAGGGGAACTTTTTATTTACAATAAGATGCAAATTATTAAATAAAATTTGATCATGTTCTTTCACAAAAAATAAATACTTCGTTTTTGTGAAACCAAACAATTCCTTTTTTATAACGACAGTAAAAACCAATCAATGCTTAATACGAAGAAATGAAACCTAAAACTACGATCTTCTTAACCTAGAAATTATAAACTAAAACAATAAATTTTATTTACAATTTTTTTAAAAAGATATTCTTTTAAAAAATAAGGTTATTAAAATATATATATATATATGTATATATGCATAAGAACAATTATTAAAATAAGCGCCCAAAAGGTTTGACCGGAAATGTCCGTTGAATGAAAATGCGACAAACCATACGGCCGAATAACTGTAATTACCGAAATGTTCTGTAGCTATACGGAAAATTATCGGGAATTTTTTTTTCACCAGGTAATACGTCGGTAATACACCAGTAATACACCAGTAATACACCGTAATACACCGGTAATACTCCGGTAATACTCCGGTATACGCCCATAGGCCAGGCCATAGGTCATAGGTAATACACACCCATAGAACATAGAGGTCGCGTGTTTAAGACATTTTTTTTTTAAATTTAATTAATTTAATTTAAATTTTTGATTCAAAGAAGAACCACCTGTCAAAATTCTTATTTGTTAATATTAATGTAAAAAATAATTTAGTGATGCATTGACACGTTTCTTTATTTGTACCTAATTTTTTAGTAATGATAATCCTATTTATTAATTTGAAACTTGAAAGAAATTAAAAGATCATCCAACAATTATTCATTTTTTCTTATTAAAGTAATTTTAATTTCAGAAATGAAACAAATTTTGTAATATTACAGGTTAAAAATTAATGCATTTTTTTATTATTCGAAATTATTTTTTCATGAAATAAATTTATTAAAATTTTTTTTTCTTTTTTAAAAAAAAAAAATATATACAGTATATGATGACGATGCTCCTCATTTTTTGTACCATTATTTGTGTGTCGCGTGGAATTATTACGTAATTTTATTAGTTTCATATATGTATACTGTATAAGATATTTGGCAATCATTAACCAAATTCGTTTAATTCATTGGTATCCTTAAAATAGGTACACAACTTTTTTCATTATTCCTTTTCATCGTAAAAGAAAAAAAAGGTCAAAGCCTCCCGAATTACATATTTCTTTTTTTAAATAATATATTATTTTTCTCACTATTCATCCCATATTCGGAAAAAGTGATAATATTAATAATATTAATAGTAAAAACAGTGTTCCAAGGGTTAAATTAGTTGTCAACCCATTTCCGGATTATTATTTTATTTATTTTTTAAAGTAATAAATTACTAAAATTAATCCACAATTAAAAAATCCTAACCCTTTAAAATAATATTCACCTTAAAGATTCCATATATCGGCAATGATGTCCCGGTTAATTTTAGTACTTCCACTAAAGTACGTGATAATCCATTGAACTTTGTATTTTTGGTAAAAAAAGATGTTCAGTACCTTTTCCTATTAAGGGTACCCTATGTTTCATCTTTTTTTTTTTTTTTTTTAA